ATTAGGTTTGCCCATGAGAGGTCTATAGACTCTGTGGTATTATCTAGAAAAGGAGCTCAATTGTTAGCACATCACGGAGGGAAAACAGTGTCGCCTGAACTGGGCGAAGTGACTGATCTGGGAAGTAGCCACAGAAATAATCCTCCTCAGAGAGGAAAAGACATATTAGCAGACAGGATTTCACAAACTTTTGTGTAACTCGACAATTAATTGACACACAGTATAAAACCAAATCAAAAAACATTTTTTTAGAAGCTAACGTTCCTCGAGACTCAGGCCAGAGAGTAGTGGAGGGATTTTTCTTTCATTTTCTTTCTCTGCCAGATGAGTAATTTCAGAACAACTGCTGAGTGCTGAACAATAAGACATTCAAGGACCAAAACTCGAGAGTCATTTTTTTCACCACAACACCCTCGGGTAGCTGTTCCCTGTCTCTGGCAGACAAAATTATTTTCCAGCTGGCTCCTGGAGGACCATCTATAAACAAATTAGAAATTTCAAAGGGTTTGTTTTCTGCCTCCTGGCTGCCAGTAGGGGCCGTTCCCTTTGTGTCCTTCATATGAAAAAGTAATTTAACAAAGAAAAAAGAGAGCACGCCTTGGTTCAAAACAGAAAAGCGTGTCCCCTCTCTCCCCCTCCCTTTCGTCATCCCCTCTCTGTCCATTGTCATGTTGGGTCAGTTTTCTGTCAAAACAACTTTTATTGTATGCAGCTTTCATCCTGCAGGGCTCCAAGAGCCTGAGAGACAAGTTGTTTTCCTCCAGCAATTCCATCAGTAAGGAGAAAATGGAAAATGAGCCCTGATTTATGGCTGATTCTCCATAACAAACAGGGGCAGCAAACGCCCACCCGGCTCTGTAGGGAGAAGTTAAAAGTGGGTCCGCTCGCCTGCCACCCAGCTCAGATTCAGACCAAAGGAAGTACGGCCTCAAAACAAAAGAGAGCTCTTGAAACATTTTACAACAGCTTGCCCTAGGCAAGGTACAGGACATATTTCAACGGGAAGGAAAAAAATCAAGCGTGCCTTACACCAACTCAGAACAGGAATTAAGCTTAATATCTGGGACTTCTGAAAAACCTTCCCCCTCAAAATATCCCAGCAGATGGGAAGCACCAGCTATTTAGACATAAGAACGCATTATATTCCAAAGGAGAAAGTTAGCAAAATGGGTCCCCAGTTTACGGAAAAGGAAACCAAGACCTACAGAGAAGGGAGGGTGTGTGTGTAGTGACACAGCAAATTGTTTAAAGACAGGACAGAGTCACCATTTCTTGTTTTATGTGGCCGAAAGTCAGCTTACGGAGACTAAGATGCTTTCTTGGGGTTTGGCTTGAAAAGTCCATTTTCTCATTATTATCTTATTTTTCATTCTTTGGGATTGATTTGGGGCTTGGCTGGCAGTCAAGAGCTAGAGAACATGAGGTTCACAAATGCAGCTATTTCTAGCCTGCTGATATGCTCCACTAATCATGTTTCAAGTGGCATGCCAAATCGAGACTTTGCTTTCTAGGTTTGCACTTTAAGGTGAAGAGGTCTTAAAAGCCTTCCCAGCACAGAGCATTTCATTTAAGGAAATTCTTGACTCAGGCAAACCAATTTGGAACTATTTGGGAGTATGCCAATAGAGAGAAAAATACTGTGGGGCTTAATTTGGTTCTGTGCACTTTTTTTAAGCATGTATTTTGCATACCTTTACTTCTAATTCTTTTCCAGCAGAGTGTGTGGATTCTGCAGGTAGCTCTCCAGCAGTGATTTCAGCCCTGGGGGTCAAGGAAAGAATGAAAATGGCTTGGAGGAGTAAAAGCTTCCCAAGCCATCAGAGCCTAAGTCTGGAGTACGTGTGTGTGCACGCACACGTGTACGTGTGTATTTTTGCTGGAGGAGGTGCACGTGCGCGTGTGGGGTGCTAGTGAATGAAGTGGAGATGCAGGACAGAGATGTGATGCCTCAACTTGGCTAAGGCTCAAATACCACCCTGGAGCCCTGATTAAGCAAAATGCTCAGGACAACATTCGGGTCAAGGGCAGCACCCCCCGCTGGCTCACTGCCCACTCACAGCACTGTTCACTCACCCTCCGTACATACGTACCTTCCACACATACCCCCGAGCGCATGCTTGGGAGCCAGTTAAGAAACAAACACTATTTTAAATTCATTTCCTTTTTAAAACAATGCTCACAAGAAACGTATTTCAAGTCTGTTTCCCATGAGTGAGATGAAGCCTTTCCTTTCTGGCTACGTTGAAGAAAAGCATAATCTTGGAAGTACAGAAAAGGAGTCAGATTTCAACCAGAGTATTTATAGCACTTGGGCCGAGTTGACTGACCTAGGTTCAAATGACTAATAGAGAACAGACAAATATTCCTTCCCTTCCCCCAACAGCATAAAAGCACACAGTATTATGCTGAAGCCAAGATTTAATAAGCCTAAACACGTGTAATATAAGGAAGATGAAATGTAAACCACAGAAGGGGTCTTGGTAGTGTATTCGATACCATACAGCAGTTTTACAAATTGTTTATTTCCTTTACCAGATGGGCCTTTTAAAATTTCCTCTCTGCGTACCTTAGTACCTAATGGCAAACCCACCTGAATCGCTTCCATCCTGCACAGCCCTTGCCGGGATCTTGGCCAGACACAGTGCATGCAGGGTTAATGCCAGCCTTGAGCAGCCCTCTGCCCTGAGTAGGGTTATTAAACAGGAACATTTGACTCATAATTTGTTCTCCTCATGTTAAGTAGATTGCAATAACTCAGCTGTCCAGGATCTGTTTATCAATGCTCTGTGGCTTTCAGCAGCAAATATTTTATAACCACTAAGTTTGATGTTCAGACCACTCATCAAATGAAAATCTCCTGTACTCAGAGCTGGTGTTATCATCACAACCCACCAACTGGAGAACCCTGGAGAGGCAGTAACCCTGTCCCAGAGCCTATCCGGCTTAGCCATATCTTCATCCTGGGAAATTCTCTTCCACTAAATGACTTTAAGAGAAACTGGCCCACCCTCAGAATAGGCTATAACATTTCAGAGATTCTTCATCGGCCTACACTGTCCTAGTAAGTTGCCATTTTATTGAGTTTTATTTTCTCCTTTATATGCATCCTAATAAAAGTGAAATGGGGTATATGTAATAAAGAGGAACGGAAATGAGGGAAGATGTGGATGAGAAGAAAGCAAAGGAAAGAGAGAGAAATAAGGGAGTGAAAACAGAAGGGAGCTCAAGAAGGGAGAAGGGAGAGAAAGAGAAAGGAAGGTAGATGGATCCCACTACAGGTTGCATTCTGTTGATGCTGAATCCCTAAAACTAGATCATTTGAAATTAATAAAAGAAATTATTGTTGTCACAGATATGCTTTCTCCGTAATAATCTGATTTTTTTTAATGAGCTGCAGAGGTTCTGGTATTTCCCACTTAGCGTATAAGGTACTATCCCCCCAAAGAACGTATACAGCAGTTTATTGTATAACTGCAGAATATTGAGCAGTCATTAAAGAATTAGTAATGAAACCAGAGCCATTGACCTATCATGCCTATAAGAACCTATTAGATAATGTAACATCTAAAATAATACAAGAATAGAAAGTTAACATTCATCATTTTCATTACTAAATGAAACCCACATGTTGAAAAAATGCTTGTGATTCAATTTTTGAAACAAACTTCTTGTACTTTTCAGTGACATAAACAAATGAACTGCCTCTATTGACTAAGCTTAAGTTGGGAGACTGTGTCTTGCACCTAAGGAGTATTGAATAATACTGATGTTGGTACTAGGACTAGGGTTCTCAGGTTGGCTCGGCCTCCATCACTTGCCCACCTAGAATAGAAGAGAGGTGTGACTGGGAGGCACTGTACAATAACAGTCCCTCAAGTCTCAGATGCGAGAAGCATCTGTCCAAAGGAATGGGGGCCACTGACAGTTAAAGACATCAAATAGAATGCAAGGCAGACAAAAACACAGCTACTATCCAGAAAATCCCCTCTCCCCCTATCTGTTCCTATTTTCTTTTCTTTTCTTTCTTTTTTAAGAGAGAAGAGGGTTGGGTTTTTTAATATAAATTTATTTATTTATTTTTGGTTGTGTTGGGTCTCCGTTGCTGCATGCGGGCTTTCTCTAGTTGCAGCGAGCGGGGGCTACCCTTCATTGAGGTGCACAGGCTTCTCTTGTTGCAGAGCACGGGCTCTAGGCGCGCAGTCTTCAGTAGTTGTGGCACACGGGCTCAGTAGTTGCAGCTCGAGGGCTCTAGAGCACAGGCTCAGTAGTTGTGGTGCATGGGCTTAGTTGCTCCACTGCATGTGGGATCTTTCCGGACCAGAGATTGAACCCATGTCCTCTGCATTGGCAGACGGATTCTTAACCACTGAGCCACCAGGGAAGTCCTGTTCCTATTTTCTGATACAACAGCTACATTAATCACAGAGTATTAGCCCCATCACTATGACAACTACTGAGAATCTCACAAAGATAATGATTTACAATTAGAAGAGAAATAAAAGGATTATTAGAGGAAGTCTCTCATAAGGAAAGGACATTGAAGTTGAAACTTGAGCAATATACATGAATTAGACAAATTCAAGAGTAAGAGTAAAAAAGCCTTTGAGGTTGAAGGAAACCTAAATGTGAATTCTCTTAATTCTAAGGAATTTGGAAAATTCTGCTTTAATTCATATGTAGAAAGGAACAAAACCCTAACAACAACAGAAGGCTGGAAAACCTGCAAAATCATAGTTTTTTAAAACCCGTCAGAAGCAGACACAAAGAAACCCAAATAACCCACACTCCAGAGAGTGAGGAACACTTTCCAGGAGAAAAAAAATAAATAAAGGACTGAGCACTAGTCTCATACCTTGCACAACTGCAGCAGGAGGAGGGATCCACCATAGACTTACTAGTCAAAATTCTAATGACCTTTTAATAGCCTCATGTGGGAAGCACAATGGATTGCAATTCAAAGAACCCTCAGCCAGCCACAAAGCAAGTCTCCACTCACTCACCATGTCTTTTCCATGGGTCTTCACTCAGTGCTTGGGAGTAGACCTAAAGAGAAGGAGTAGAGGAGATCTGAGAGACAGGCGCCTTGAGATGGTGTCTATATCTATCCATCCATCTATCTGTCACAGATTTGTGTGTATTCACACACATACATATTTGTTTTATACAATATGTATTATACACACATATATGATTTCTTTATATGATATTATAGATTATATTTACATATAAACACATTATTCTTTAAAATTTTTTTGACTAAAGCAAAAATACAAACATTGGTTACGGTATTTATAATATACATCGTGGTAAAGTATAAAGTGACAAGACGACAAAATATGGAAGGAGATTGAGGGAATTATTCTATTTTAAGGTACTTATGCTGTTCATTAAAGAAGATGACAGGGATTTCCCTGGCGGTCCAGTGGTTAAGACTCCGTGCTTCCAATGCAGGGGGCATGGGTTAGTTGGGGGGAACTAAGATGCCACGTGGTGTGGCCAAAAATATAAAAAATAAAGGAGATGACAGTTTAATAATCCATATTGTACACTCCAAAGCAATTACTAAAAACAAGTTTAATACAAAGACTTATGAAGATAATACATAAAAGAAAATGGGATACTAAAACAAGTACAATTTGCTCAAGAGAAAACAGGAAAGGAGAAAAAGTAGAACAAAGAACAAATGGATTAAGTATAAAACAAACAATAACATGGGAGACTTAAATGCAATTATACTAATAATTATATGTAAATGAAATAAACATATATATTAAGTGGCAGAAATTATTAGTTTGGATTAAAAAAAATCAAGACCCAACTTCATGCTGTTCCTAAGAAACATATTTTAATTATGAAGCACAGACAGGTTGAAAGTAAAAGGATGGGAAAACGTATAACGTGTATAGCAGATAAGCTCCAGAGAAGGCCACCATCAATCCTACCTTGCACGGACAAACCTACTGTTTCACACATCAAAAGGTACAAACTAACTCTCCTCCCCTGGAAACCAAGCTGGCTTTAGTGACTTGTTTAATGAACAGAATATAACAGACATGACATTCTTGGACCACTGAGGCTACTTTATCATAAGCCTTACAGCTTCTGCCTGAGGTGCTTAGAATGCTTACTTTTTGGATGTCGCTTTTGAAAAACCAAGCACCCTACAGTGAGAAGCCTGGGTCCTTCCCTGTGGAATCAGCAAAAGGGGAGAAAGGGGGCAAGAATTATACTATATGAGGTCTCCCCATATGGAGAAAAACATCTGTAATAGGAGAGAAGTATTTCTCCAAAAAATTCCCTAACTTTGCGTTTTTTCCCTTAACACATTGGGCTTAACCATGAAGTATATGGTCAGTTGGGGATGGGAGCCAGGGGTGGCTATCAACCGGGGTGAAAATAGGTATCTATCAGAAGAGTCCTTCATGAAGTTATTCCCACAACATTCTCTTTTAGGTATCCTCCTGAGACCACTGGGGATCCATATTGATTTTCCCCTCAGAATGCTCGAAAAATGAGTTTGAATGATACAGTAAGTAAATTAACTTCAAATTTCTTCTGCACCCAAAGCTGAAAACCCATTCACTATTTTATTTTTGGCCCTAATAATGTCCAGGCGCATTGTCTGACATAACATATGAGAGAGTCAGCAATGAGATTAAGTGACAACATGAAAATATAGACACTCCAATAATAAAATGTCAACAATGTAGAGATGACAGATTTTAATATACATACCCTCCCATTATCATATTAAAATTCAGAAGTATTGCATTTTATATGAAAGTCCAAATCAAATTATCTTGCCCTTGTGAGTAAAAGTTTTTGCGAGTTAAAGTCCAAAGGCATTAAAGTTAAAAATCAGTTTTTCTTGATCAAGTTGAGTTAATGGTCCTAAGTCTGAAATTCTTAAAGTTCAAAATACGTCCTCCTTAATTAAGTATCCTTTCATCTGTCAGGTAAAGGAGATCTTGATGCCTCCGTAAAATTATTGTTCCTTCAGCAGCTCCATCCTGGGTTGTCTCTCCTGGGAATGGATGTAGTTCCTTCTTGACATTAAAAGTGGCATTCAGTTCAGTGCCAGTTCTCTGTACGCATCCCTCAGATGCTGAACCCTATTCTGTTGTAAGTTTTTCCACACAACCAAGCAATTCTCTGACACCAGCTGGGTGTCCTATAATTCAACTCAACTGTCTGACACTTACCAGGAGATAGTATCGGACTACACAGGTAAAGGACACAGTCCCACAAGACCGTCCTACACTTCAGATGCCAATTATAAGTCCAGGTTGTTACCTGTGACTCTGACGGACTGGCTATAAATCAGAGGTTCCCATGACCCTGTTCTTGGGTTCGATTAATTTGCTAGAGCAGCTCACAAAACTCAGTAAACCTGTTTACTCGGTAGATTACCAGTTTATCACAAAGCATATTAAAGGATTTAATTCAGGAACAGCCAGACAGGAGAGATGCATAAGACAAGCTAGAGGAAAGGATTAGGAATTTCCATGCCCTTACTGGGGTACCATTCTCCCCAAATCTCCATGTGCTCACCAATCAGGAAGCTCTCTGAACCCCATCCTTTTGGGTTTTTACGGAGGCTGCATTACAGAGACATGATGGATTAAATCATCAGCCATTGGTGTTGAATTCAATCTCCAGATTTTTCAGAGGGGGGGGTAGTGGAATTGAAGGTTCTACTTCTCTAATCACGTGGTTAGTTCCACTGGCAATCAACCCCTATCCCTAGGTACTTTTCATATCATTAACATAACAAAAGACACCTTTCTTCTTCTCATCTCTTAGGACAGTCCAAGAGTTTTAAGCTCTCTGTGCCAGGACCAGGACAAAGACCAAATATGTATTTCTCATTGTCGATCACAATATCACAATCCCCTTTCTAAGATCCTGAAGACTTCATGTGACACACAAGATTATTACAGCCCTGGCTCCAAAACCTCCAAATCGAGGAAACAAGATGATCCCCAGCCTCTATCAACAGTTCCCACAGGCGATAGTGTACTCTGAGAATCCCTTCTAAGAGCTGCTAAAGGCCATATAACAAAAATTCAACATCTGAGGGAAGTAAAGTAGATGGAACAATGCTTGGTTCAGCATCTTCACATGCAGTCAGTTAATGTCTGTTATCCAGAATCCACAAACTGTGAATTCAAAATAAATCGGGTGAAATCTCCCAGCAGAATGTTAATGAGGGCACTACTCATTCGCCATTTCGGTGATCTCTCTAAACACTATCACGTTTCTCAGAGTGCATTTCAGATATTGCTGCCTACTTACAAAGATTAGAAATTTGAAATCATGGGAACCCAATCACTAAGAATTATTTGCAGTGCCTATCTTTTCCATCCAAGTTATTAAACTACTTTAGTTTCACTTGCCCTTTTGTCTTCAGCATTCCTGGAACTTTGGTGCTGCCTGAGGGTGAGGTCTGTCTGGTAATACAGACTTCACGTTATGTTACGAGAAAGTACTTCTGAGCTTGGGCTGCCACTTCTGCCTCTTGTATTAGAATTGCTTAGGGAAGAATTTCACTCCCACACTGAATACATTCAACTAGAAGAGTACTCACAACCGGACACCCACTTACAGAGAAGAAATTGGACTCCCTACCTCACACTGTATACAGAAGTTAACCCAAGATGGATCAAAGATCTAAACATAAGAGCTAAAATTATACACTAATTGAAAGAAACCAAACAGAAGGCTACATGTTATATGATTCCATTTATATGACATGTCCAGAATAGGCAAGTCCACAGAGACAGAAGTAGATTAGTGGCTGCAAGGAGTTGAGGAAGAGGGGAATGGAGACTGACTGCTAATGGGTATGGGACTTATTTTAGGGGTGATAAAACTGCTCTGGATTAGATAGTGGTGATAGTTGCATAAACATATGAATATACTAAAATTCATTAGATTGTATACTTTAAAAGTGTGAATTTTATAGTATGTGAATTATCTCTAAAAGTTTTTGTTTTTTTTTAAGTACATTCAACATATTCTAGAAACAGAGCTGCTGCTGATACATCAAATTCCCAGCTCCCAGGGCCTAGGAGATGCCGTCTTTACTCCTCCCATCAATTCATCTGGCACATTTTCTTGGAGCCAGTTGTATCAGAATTTGTATAAGTACTCTAAAACTTAGTGGTTTTAAATAGCAACTATTTATTTAGCTTGAGATTCTGCGGGTTGACCAGTTGAGCTAGGCTTAGCTGAGTAGTTCTTCTGATCTTAGATGGTTTCATGTGTCTGCAATCAAATTCTGGATCAGCTAGGGTCTACCTAATCTAGGACAGCCTCAGTGGGGTCGTCATCTTGGTTCCACATGGTTGCTCATCCTCCAGCTAGACTGGGATTGTTGTCACATGGGCAGCAGGGTTCCAAGAGTGAAAGAGGAAGTGAGCCTAGAGGAAGAGGCACATCATCATTTCTGGTGCATTCTGTCGGCTAAAGTAAGTCACGATGCCAGTCAAGATTCAAGGGCAGGGAAATAAATTCCACTGCCTGTTGGGAGGAGCTATGAAGACACAATGTAAGGAGTGGGGATTCAGGTAAGGGTAAAGGATACTGAGAACTTTTGTAACCTACCATTTCCTAGAGCAGATGTTGCAAGACAAGAGTTGTGCAGTGGGTCTAGAGAACAACCAGTACAGATCAGAGAGAGAGAGAGGCTAGAGGATTCCAAGAGGGAATTTCTAAGAGAAACAAAAATAGGAACTAAACAGACGACCTGATGTATTAGACTAGATTGAAAGGAGTTTTAGAGTTCTTTCAGAAAGTACTAGTACGGATTATAGGATCACAGAAAACAATTCCTTCAGGGAATATTACTTCAGGTGGGTAATATAAGTGTGCAAAGTGGCCAGATGGAAGTCAGCAAAGAATGAGGTGCAGAGTGCATGCCCATCTTAAAACACTGAAATCATTAATTTCAGGGAGAATAAAAAGGATTTCATATATACTTTAGTATAATATAGAGTTCATTGTATATATGGTCATATTTACATATTTACCTACTTATATAT